CTGGATTTGGCCCCGGCTGCCATGCCACCCCACGCCTGGGTCCGGCCGCTGCAGTGCACTTGCCCCACTCCTAGGTCCGGCAGCCGCGCCGCCCCCGCTCCTGGGTCCAACCATAAGCACCCCTACCCGTAGCACACGAGCGCCGACATCCACCGCCAGTCCCTAAGCACACCGCCCAAGGGCCCATGCCCCATCCCCTGACATTATCCTGCCTCGCTGGCGCACCATGGACGTCTTCCTCTTCTGCCTAGAACTTCTTCTCCAACCTATTGCCTTGTCGGTGTTCCATTCATTCCGCTCAACATGGCTCTTCAGGTATGGCCAGGATTCGATCCCCTGGATTTGTCTTAGGAATCGAGATGAATTCTATCTTCTCTGTATCTAATTTGCGCCTAATCTTGGTTCTTGGATCAGGTGTGGACGGTTGGGGAGGACGATGAGGACCTCAAGAACCACAGGGAGCTCCTGCCTCTCTCCAAGCTCCAAGGTGCGAATGATGATCCTTAGTTTCTTGGATTGTTGGTGTGTCCCCTATTTGTTTGGGTAAAAAATGCCTCTTTTGGGTGAATATATACGAGCTTTTATTTGTTGGATGTCGTGGCCTTAGTCAACACTTTTAGATGACGACGCCCTCATGTAATTGCTTGAACAGAGGGTGACTTGCCATCGTTCTTGATTATCCTCTATCGATTCGAACTATACAATTTATGTTCCTCACCCAAAGAAGTAACTGCTGAGAGTGGACACCTGACTAATAAGGCGAGTAGAACAAGGGAATGTTTTCAGTTCTCTTTTAGCTTTGAAAATTATCATTTTGAAAAAAATTCAAAAACGGCCAGGTATCTGAATCCACTTTTCCGTAAACATGGTGTCTAGAAGCTGGGCTCGGTTCCGTAAACATGGTATACTCTGCTAAGCAGCTTCCAACACTTTCCCTGTTTTCTTTCAGAGATTGGTGTGTTATATTGGCATTTGGACCCAAAGAGACCTGAAAGCGAAGAAGAGCTAGCGAAGATCCGCAAAGACAGAGGATATAACTACATGGTTTGCGACTCCCACCAACTCTCAGTTCCTCTTTGCTTCTCTTTAACCATGCACACCTTGTGTATGTAATCTGATAGTATTGCACATGCATCACTTGCTGAAGGATCATCTCGATATATGCCCTGGAAAGTTAGCAAACTTTGAGGAGAAGCTCAAGAACTTCTTCACAGAGCACATGCATGCCGACGAAGAGATCCGCTACAACTTGGAAGGCGGCGGGTACTTTGATGTGCGCGACAAGGATGACAAGTGGGTTCGGATCTGGATAAAAGAAGGGGATATCATCGTGCTGCCGGCTGGAATTTATCATCGGTTCGCCCTCGACGCCGCCAACCATGTGAAGGTACTGACTGGGATCTTTTATGTGTTTTACTGCTAAAGAGTTGTTGCGGTGATTAATTTTTGCATCACATTTTGCATAGAAATATGAATCAGTTTTGTCATCCAAGCTCATTGAAAGCATGAGTTAGGCACTAGATTAGAGGACATCTGTAGAACCATCAAAAAGAAGCGCAAGTCGCAAAACGGATCAACAAGATGGTTGACAACTAATTCTTCATGTAATGCTACTTGGTGAGGACCACTAAGGAAAAACAATACAATGCTGAACTAGCAGCATCACATTCACGGATCAGATGTACGACACAAGTTGGCCAATCTGGGTAGTGTATTCAAGTTTAGCAGAAAGTGTGCTCTCGTAGGATGCAGAAACAAGGTTCATTTTCAGCTGGTAATTAGGGAACTGTGTTGTTAAACAACATCTATAAGCAATTAAAATGAGACGGTGTATACATGTAGAAGTTCTATCTTGCATCAGATATAAACTAGGTACTTATCAAACTTAACACATTCTGATGCCTCTTGTCGTGCACAGCTCATGAAGCTATTCCTAGGAGAACCAGTGTGGATAGCGCACAACCGGCCTCAGGAGGACCATCCGGTGTGGCAAGAGTATGTGAAGAGGCTAACGGACGACAATGCTGGTCTTGCTCTGGCAGCACACTGAAGTTTGTTTGTGATTCCTCAGCTATGTACTATAAACACCCATGCATGGACATATACAGACACTTGGATGAAACTGTGTTGTAATCTTCAATATGCAGGTGGCCTCGTTGGCGCACCATGGACGTCTTCGCTGCTGGCAAACGGCAAAAAAAAGGATTGGCCGATCCAGTCGAGCAAGCTGTGGAAGAACAACTCGACTTATGTATGCTTTTTTTATCTAATATGGCTGATTGTACCGCCGCCGCTGTTTTCGGTTTTTTGCTCACATGCACTGTATTTGTTGGATGTAATGCCTGAGAACTAGCCTGGGAATAGATGCAGTATGTTGCTGGAGTTTGTGCAACTTTTAGTCAAATAGAAAATTTTGATGAAATGCACGCAGTTGTTGTTCGGCAGTGAAATCATAGTCTTTGCAGTACCCAGTTAACGTTTTCGAAGTTTAATACTGCAAAAAGAATGAAAGTAAATATACTATACTTTGAAAAAGAAAATGGAACGACGGAATCATATGGTGCTGTTCATATATAACCAAGAGAGGAGTTCAAAGAATCTTAACTTGTTGCATTTAATAAAAAACAGTGGAAAAGCATGAACTAGCTAGGCGTGCTAGTTCAAATATGTACCATATCATCAACTTGAAAGAGTATGTCATTCGCAAAAACATTTGGGGAGAATATGAAAAAGTGTGATATTACATTGCATTAAAAAATAAAGTTTTAAAAATACTTATGAGGATGTTGATATTTTAAAAATCCAGAAGTTCAAAAAAAATTGATCACAAAGTTCAAATAAAAAAGAGGAACATTTCAAAAGAATTTCTAAAAAATGGTTTTCCCATTCTAAAAAAACTAGAAGTTCAAATTAAAATATCGGTGCGGTCCAATGTTTATAAAAAAAGGATTTTCCCCATTACTAACCAATAAATTTAAGAAATTCAAATTTAAAAAAATGGTAAAGTTAGATGTCTATTATAAATTTAGATTTTTCTCATTCGTAAAAAGAATAAAACAAAGATGTTCAAATTTAAAAAATGGTGATGTCCGATGTCTGTAAAAAATGAATTTGAGCAAAGAATGTTTTCTCGCATTCAAAAAAAGGAGATCAAATTAAAAATAACGGTGTAGTCAAAAGTTTAAAAAAAATCCAAAATTTAACTTTTCAAAATTAATAAAAGCCTAGAAGTTCAATTTAGAATAACAAATCATTTGATTTTCACCGTTTTAAAAAACCCGAGAAGTTCAATTCAAGAAACCTAAGAAGTTCAAATTTTAAAACACAGTTTTTCCTTGCTGCTAAACCAATAAAATCGAGAAGTTCAAACAAAATAACGAAGAAGTATACCGAAAAATCAAATTATTTCCATTTCTAGGAAAAATAAAAGTTGGAAATTTTAGTTTTAAAGTTTGATGCTTATTTGAAAACATATTTTTCCAAATAAAAAATATGATGTTCAAACTGAAATAACAAAGAATTTCAAAATGTATTGAAACCTAGGATTTACCTGTTCAAAAAATAAAAAACACAACTCCATTTTTTGCATTTTTTAAAACAACTCATAAACAAAAAAATGGTGAAGTTCAAATGATACATAAATGCTTTTCCTTATCTAAAAAAACTAGAAGTTCAAATCAAAATAACATAGTGGTCCGATGTTTATAAAAAATTGAATTTTCCCGTTACTAACAAAGAACTAAGAAGTTCAAATTTTAAAAATGGTGAAGTTCGATGCCAATAAAAAAACAAGTTTTTCTCGTTATTGAACGAATAAAACTTAGAAGTTCAAATTTTAGAACATCTTCATGGTTAGATGTGTGTTAAAATCATGTGAGTGTATGTGTGTAGGTGTGTGGCAACACAAAAGTTCGGATGAGGAAAAGCTAATAAAATGAAACCTAAAAATGTTCATTGCAACAAGTTCCAAAAAGAAAAAGGAGCACACCATTGAAATCCACATGGCTAGGAAAATGAAAAAAAAACTGATTTTCCCCATTCTATAAAAACTAGAAGTTCAAATTAAAAATAACGACACGGTATCATTGTTTTAATAAAAAGTCATTTTTCCGTTACTAACCAATAAAACTAAGAAGTTCAAATTTAAAAAATGGTGAAGTTTGATGTCTATAAAAAATTCGGATTTTTCACATTATTAAAAAATAAAAGCAAGAAGTTCAAAATTTTAAAACAAAGAGGTTCAAAAAAGTCAATTTTTCTCGTTACTAAAAAATAAAACTAAGAAGTTCAAATTAAAATAACAGAGAAGTTCAAACTTGATAAAAACATCAGATTGTCGTTCTAAAGAATACTAATAAATTCAAATTAAAATAAGGGAATAACAAAAAAAAGTTTTAAAAAAATTTCCCCATTTTTTTTAAATTCGGATTTTCCCCGATACTAAAGATTAAACCAAGAAGTTCAATTTGAAAAAACTGAGTAATTCAATGTACATTAAAAACTTAGTTTTTCTCGTTACTGAAGAATAAAACCAAGAAGTTCAATTTTAAAACATGGAGAATTTTCTACTACATGATGTGTGTTTAATATGAGAAAAATGAATTAAAAGGCAAGGTCCAAATTTTTAAAGAGAACGCACATTTCCTTGTTATAGAAAATTCAGATTTTCTTCGTTATTAAAATATGTAAACAAGAAGTTCAAAAATAAAATAATAAGAAGTTCAACCTTTAAAAATAGAGCACTACTAGATTCATAAAAAGAGATTAAGCAAATCATATTAAAGATTCATAAAAAAAACTCAGATATTTTCACGTAACCGAGAGAAGTTCAGATTGATAACTGCCGAAAATTCACGTACTACACGGTGTGCATTTTGTATTAAAAAGGAATAAAAAGAAAATTCTAAAAGTTTTGTTGTTATAAGTTCAAGTCCTCCATCGGAGAAAGTTAAAAAAATTATTGTGAGAGAGATTTGTACCAAAGGAATATCATTTGTGTAACACGGACGAATGGATGAGAAAATTACAAACGAAAATACGCCACATAAGTTCAACGTGAAAACAGCAGGAAGTTCAACTACTATGCTGCATGAATTTGAGATGAATTTTTTTAAAATCATCGCGAGTACGAAAAAACGATAAACACGGGAAACTTGCGTGCTTACATCAGCTTTCCATCAATATATCACCTGCTCAATTCCGGTGAATGGATGGAGAGTTACGAGCAGTGGATGGAGACATACGAGCAAAAAAATCACGTGAAAAACAGAGTGAAGTTCAGGTACACGCACCGAGAAGTTCATGTTCTTCACGCGGTGCATTTTCGAAGAATCTGTTTCGCGATAAAGGCAGAACGAATGATCTCGCCATTTTCGCAATTACTTGAAAACGGCTAAGAATCAGAGAAAAGCATCAACATGAAAAAGTTTCACATTTTCCATAGCTTTTCGACGGTATATAATTTGCCCAATTTCGATAAAGTTTGTAGAAATTACGGCAAAAATACGTTTTTCGCCATTTTCGAAACTGACTTAAAACCGTAAAGAATTGGGATAAACAATACATACCAAAAAGTTTCGCATTTGTTCAAGCTTTCTAACGCCATATCATTTGTTGCATTCGGACGCTCGGTTCAAAAATTAGCTCGAAAATACGAACTCGGTAGGACTTGGACCATTTTCTAAATTACTCTTAAACCATTCAAAATTAGAAAAAAACTTTCAAGATGAAAAACTAGCGCATTTGTATAAGATTTCCAATGCCATATCATTTGCCTCCATTGGATTAGCCGTTTAGAAATGATATCGAAAAAACGAACTCGGTTGTTCGGTTTACGAAATTTTACGTTTTTTCAAATTACTCTTTAATCATAGGGAATTAGAGAAAACTTTCAACACGTGGAAGGTGCGGTTTTGCAGCAGATTTCCAACGCCATATTATATGCCTCATTCCGATAAACGGTTTAGAAATGTGATTGAAAATACGATTCACGTTTTTTGTGCGAAGAAAAAACGGTTTTCAAAACTGCTCTTAAACCGCTTATATTTTGCCAAAAATTTAATTTGGCTCATGATATTGGGGTCCTTATCTTTCCAACGGTATATCGCAAGCCCCATTTGGGCAATGTTGGTGGAAGTTCAACCTAGTTCACACGGAAGTTCAACGTAAACACTATTCTGATCACGGGATCAGAATAATATTCTGATCACAACCTGACCTGCCCCGCTAGTAGTATGTTGAACTTCCGTGTGAACTAGGTTGGACAGGGCTATTTTGTTACTAGTAACAGAATATTATTCTGTTACCCTCGGCTCTATAAGGGCGCGACGCGCTACACCGTAGAAACTTCCCAACCCACCCCGAACCTAACCCACCTTCTTCTGTCGTGGGCGAGCGAGCGACCGCGTCAGCCGGAGTGAGGGAGCCAGCGGCGCCATGACTAGCCGCCGACGGAGCCCATCGAACTGAACCTCCCCCGCGGCCAACCACTTCTCCCACCTTCCTTCTTCCGCAACGACTGGATCGGCTGCACAGACCACCAGCCTCACCACCGCGCCGCCGCCCCAGCCATCGGCCCCCACCGTGCCGCCGCCCCTTCCACCTGCCCCCACCTCGGCGCCGCCTCCCTCCCCGCGCGCCGACGCCTCCCTCCCCGCATGCCGCCGCATCGCTCCCCCTGCGCCGCCGCCTCCCTCCCCACGCGCAGCGCCGCCCGGCCTCATCCTCCCTGCCCCCGCCTCCTCCCCTTCGCCAGCGCGCCTCCACCTCCCGGCCACCGGCGCGGCGCCACCTCCTCGTCCCGGCCGGCCAGGTGATGTGCGCGCATCAATTCGCGCGAGGCCCGGCTGCTAGTCACCCTTTTGCCATCTGGTTCTACAACAACAATTTGCAGTGACAAGACTGGAACATTAACTTTAAATCAAGTGGAAAGCTATTTCTTTTTAGTATTGTCCTTGTCTTAATACATGGAAATTCCATGGTAGGATTCATGATTTCTAAATATGCTTGGGCCTTGACTCCTTTCCACTTTCTTCATTGTCATTATTAAGATGACTGTTGTTGAGGCATACTTTGGTGGTGAGAAGATGGATCCTCCAGATAACACTCAGAAGCTATCTTGCTGCTGTATCAACAATGATTATTGAAGGAATTGCTCAGAATACATTTGGAAGCATATTTGAGCCGGAGGTCAGGCTATACTTATAATTTACGTCACATGCACTTTTTCATCCACGAATCTGAACATGTTTTTCTTCCTTTTAGATGTTATATGGTTCAGCTGTGTGGCTTAATGGTGGTGGAGGTCGTTATGTAGGCTGCTTCCAGTGCTCGTGCCATGGCATTCACCGCCAC